CATTCACGGCGGGGGGACGACCGCAGTTGCGCAGCCCGTGGACACGGACTTGAACCAGCACGTGAAGCGCCGGTACATTGCCCTCGAGACCAAAGCGCTGGTGCAGCAAATGGCGTTGGGGAAGCACGTGCCGCAGTTGCGGCGTTCCGATTGCGCCGACTTGATGCTGTCAGTGTTGGAGGATGTGCAGTTGCACTTGGACGCCGCGAAAGGTTTCCTGAAAGTGGGAATTCGAGCGCCCTTCGACAAGTCAGGAGATCTCGAGATTTGCCGAGAGGCGGCGGAACTCTGGGAAGCAGGGGGGCTGCGAGCAAAAGTGGACACCGCAGTCGCGGAGGTGAGGGAAGAATGCGAGCAGAAACGTTTGAAATGGTCCTACAATGACGTGCTGCGTCTCATACACGAATACGAGAAACACGACGCCACAGATTCCGTGTTGGAGAAGCTCGGCGACGAAGCGCTCGGCCAGGAGCCAGGCCACGAGGAGGGCGATGAGGAGGGCGGGGAGGAGGAGGAGGAGGAGGTGCACGAGGAGCACGAGGAGGACGAAGAGCAAGAGGAGGCCTCGTGGGCCGAGGCTCTTGCGGAACAGTGCGATGCCGCAGTTGCGGCACCTGGGCCTCAAGGATCCTCGGTATCCATGGACTGCGTGGTCGACGCAGAGGCGGCCGAGCAGGTGGCAGTGGCGACGTCCTTGGCAGAAACGCTCCGCGAGGCGGAAGATATGCTGCGCCAAGTGGGCATGGAGAAACTAGCGCAGGATTGCCGACAGCAACGACACAAACAAAAGAAGCGGTTGAGAGAGCTGGCGCGGGAGGACAACGAGGTCCTACGAGCGTTGACTGCCCAGCGAGACCACGAAGCCGCAGTGGTGGCGAAAAAGCGGCGCCTGGCTCTGGAAGCGAACGACAGGACGAAGGCGTTGCACGATCTCAAGAAGCAGATTCGAGAGGCCGAGGCCGCCTTGAGGGCAAAGAAGGAGGCCGCAGTTGCGGTGGAAACGGCTTTGGCTAACAAACACGCCCTAGCGCAGTGGAATCCCGAGGAGTTCAAGATCAAGAAAAACAGGATGGCAGCTCTGGATCGCCTGGCTCGCGGAAAAGGCGTCCTCTCAGACGAGCAGAGGGGGGAGTGGGCATGGTTCAAGACGCATTGGGACGAGGAGATGTGCAAGCAGCACAAGGAGCAATGGCCGCTCACGTTTGCTGGGTGGCTGCAAAAAGTCGCGAACGACGCGGCGTCTGGGAACCGTTCGGCGCTGTCGCAGTTCGTGCATTCGGAAACAGTGAGAACCCTGGGAGGGCAAATGGCGCTGGTAATCCCAGCCCTAGCGTGATGCAGGCCGCAGTTGCGGACCCACAGGAAGTCCAGAGGGAAGTTGTTTTTCCAAGCGGCTCCCGCGCGGGCAGGAGATGAGGCAAAACCGCAGTTGCGGTCTTCCTGCTGCTGTGAAAATAATCCTATCACAGTCCCTTGCAATCGTCGCCCTCCTTCTGCTTCTCCGCCAGTCCATTTGTTGTTCTTTCGGTTCCTTTGAGTCCTCGCCCTCCTTCTGCCACTCCTCGAATCCTCTTTGTCTCCTCCCTCCATCCGACCCCATGCCCATTCACGATCCATTTCCGTAGCCACCGTGGCTCGAGGTGGCGCACGCGAAGACGCAAGCATGTGGCCGCCCGCGCGCCCGAGCGCATCCTCAGGGAGTATGGACCGTGGACCTCGATTCGCCAGAACGGTGTTCATCCACAACGCTGAGGAGGAGGAGGGAGGCAAAGACGAGGAAGCCGCAGTTGCGGATGATGACGACGACCAGCGGACGCAAGATGGCGACAGCACCGTCGCGTCCTCGGCTGCCTCCGCTGACGAGGCTGAGTCCCAGGAGGTGCGGGAGCCGCAGTTGCGGCAGCACATGACTCCTACATGCCGAGAGTGTTGTCGTCGCGGAGACCCTGGAAACGGGTGCCCATCATCGAGACAAGCAATCTGTCGGAAAAACAAAGAGCTCTTGTCGACGCATGGGAGGAGAAAACGGAGTTCGAAGCGGGACGGGTCGGCTTCTACGTGGCCAACTTCGGAGGGACTGCAGCTAGACCCACGCAACGCGCGGACGAGTGGGCGCAGCTCCGCGCGAACCCTGCCCAGATCATCGCCCTCTGCGAGTGCGACGACGAGACCTGCGCGGTACTCAGTGGGGAGCACGACGCGAGGGACAGTGCAGCCGCAGTTGCGGACGATAGGTTTCGGAGTCGGACTCAATACAACTACCTGTGCGTTAAGGGCGGCGAGCCATCAGGGACCCTCCTTGTTGGCATGAGGGACCGCAGTGGCGGCCACATTGAACACGTAGACTTTGCGAGACTCTTCCACAAGCAGGAGAAGTCCAAAACGAAGAAGAAGAAGAAACAGTCCGCAGTTGCGGAGGCTCCTGCGCCAAAGCTGCACAACAAGTACTCCAGGGCGATGGTGGTGCGCGTCCACCTGGACCAGGCCGTGACCCATTTGGGGGGCTCCTTCAACGTCATGGCGGTGCACGTCCACCACAGCTTGGCCAACCAAGACTGGGGCGTCACGAAGCTCCATGAGTTCTACAACTGGTTCGTCGCCTACGTCAGGGAATGGGACGTGAAGGTCTGCATGGGGGACTTCAACATGTGCATGTTCCAGCTTGTGTCCTGGTGCCGCAATTGCGGCCTGACTGTGGACGTCGCCGCGTGGACCCCCTGGAAGACAGCAGGCGGCCAGCCCAGGGCAGACAGCATGGCGATTTTGTTCATAAACTGTCCTGGGCAGTACAAGCTTCACCATGGCCTGAGTGTTCTGCACGACCGTGAGGGCGGATTCTTGACGACCCAGCATGATCCGTCTTTCCCTGTCTTCGACTACACGAATGGCCCTGGGAAGATGCTTCAGACTTACGTGCCCAAGGCTGAGCCCGTTGAAAACAAGATGCGCGCCTTCCTGACGCCATCTGGCGAATCCTTGACCGCAGTTGCGGAGTTCGAGCAAAGGATGGCGCGCAGGGAACGCGACGATTGGGTGCGCCATCCCTTCAGAGTGAAGCAGGGCAACCTCGACGACAAGATATGGCATGGCGCCTTCGGCAGGGCGAGGCACGGAGCGCACTTCCCTCTGGTGGCTTTCACGCACAATACGTGCCGCAGGTCACCTGAAAGACTCGCCGCGAGGTTGGAACGCAGGAAGGGCGGCAGGAAGGGCGGCAAGAAGGGCGGCAAGAAGGGCAGCTACGCGGACACCGCAGTTGCGGGGAAGGGCGTCCGACCCCAGATGGGAACCGCAGTTGCGGGGAGAGACGCTGGGGCTGAGCGAGCTGGGAACACGCCACCGCCGCAAGCTGCCAACGGCGACGATGCGACCCCTTCTTGTGCCGCAGTGGCGGCTGGGTCCTGGGACGCCAGCGGCAGCGGCGCATGGGAGGCGCGCAGTCCCGCCACGAGATGGCAGGGCTGGTCCTGGTGGGACTGGAGCTCGAGCGAATGGGGCGCTGATGGCGCGCAGTGGTGGCCCTCTGATCATGCCGCAGTTGCGGACAATGCCCCTGAGGGCTCGCCTCCTCAGCGTGAAGTCGAGTGGGGCTCGAGCGGGCGACCTGCCGAGCGCCCTCCGTGGAGCTTCGAGGGGCAGCGTTGGTGATGGCCGCAGTTGCGGGCAAGTGGAACATGATGTTGATTGCCGCAGTTGCGGACAGTGTACGCTGGAAAAATCATCATCATCATCAATCATAATCATCATCATATCATCATATCATACGTTCAAAGCAGTGCCGGGGCACTGCTTTGAACGCGTTCAAAGCAGTGCCGGGGCACTGCTTTCGATCGTCGCCTCGTCGCAGTTATAAGGGCTATTGGATTAGCGGATTTTGCTACCATCGTTTCCCCAGAGACTTCTCGTAGTATTCGAAATGTGTGGTACAGATCGGAGTTGCGTTGCTTTTCCCACTGGAGTTCTCGTATTGTTCAAATCCAGATATTTGTTACGCTTGTGGGGGGTACGCTTCGTGTTACATCGTGGAGGCTTAAGAAGTTGTGTGGTTTGGCTGGCGTTCCCCGCGACCTGCTTGTGGTCTAGCGCCGGCTTTGTCTGTGGTTTCTGATACGAGATGCATCTGTGCGTTCTTGTTTGGGTGCATGTCATTGTGAGTGCGTCCGCGCGTCCATGCTTTGAGACCAGGGATGGTTTTTGGAGACAGCGAGACCGTTCGGATCATCAATCAGTAGGGGTGTTGCTTGTGCGCCGACTATTTCGGAGTAGCTCCCCTGACAGTAATTTCACGGACTGGATCTTCATCGTACATGAATTGATCGTTTGTGGTTTTCGTGGCCGCCGTGGCTAATTTCGGCTAGCCCCGCGTCCGCGCTCGGGTGTGGCTGGTAGGAATTCCCTTTGCCGTGCATGGCCCGACTACACTGCACGCGCTGCGACCTGCCAGATAAGCCCCGGGAGGCTGCTCTCCCTTGGGTTGATGTTCTCATTTTCGGGGGCGGCAAAGAAGGGGGTCATGACTAGGGGGGGGGGGATATCATGGCGGGGGGCATGATATTCCCCCAGATGTTATGGCGCCTCTTCTTATTTCATTACGTCCATGGCCCCCCCGCTGGGCCGCGCACATGCCGCCGGTCATGCTTTGCACCCCCCCCTCTTGGACACCCCCCCCTTGGCCGCTCCCGAATCTGCGTACCGATTGGCATCGGTCAGCCCTTGTTGGCAGATTGCATTTGGCATTGGATCGTTGGGACTTCTGTTAGCCCCGCGCGGCAGGTTTCCTTTGGCTTGATTGGGCTTCCGCTCGGTACTACCCAAAGTGGTACCGTCTGAATCGAATTCTTATGGCTACGCGGTTGGACCATCACGCAGTCGTTAGTGTCCGTGCCTTCGCAATCTGAATATATTGTGGCGTTCTCGCGTCTAGCACTCTCTCGGCAGTGTTGAAGACTTGTTGATTTGTAACACTCCCTGCATCTCGCTGCGATTATGCAACGCTCGAGGCTGGATTTCAACCGTGACGGCGTGATAACTCGAGCTGAGTTTGGAGCTGCAGGTTTCCAGGGCAGGGGCAGCATCGTGAGAGATTGCTCGGGGGCGGTCGCACTTGTGTGCGCCCATCATCCTCCTCGTCTTTCTGTTCCCAAGAGTCACTGGGGCGTCCTGAGCTCCCCAGTGGACGCCAGAGGTCCCCTCAAGCCTCTGGAGGACCAAACCGGGCCATCAGTCTTCTAACCCCGATCGTTGATCATCGTTCTCCTCCTCATCCTCCCCTTCAATATTCCTCTTGGCTCGGTCCCCATCCCGACTGAAGCTGGTTTTGTCAGGTTCGGATCGCCACCATGTTGCAGGGCAGTCGAGCTGCCAGATTCCCGGACAGACCAGCCTGGAAGCTGTCAAGCTGTCAGACTCAACTGACAGGAAAGACGGTGGAGTACGGAGGAAGAGGGGCTGAAGAACGGGGAAGAGGAGGCGGAAGGGGGGGAGGACCAACGACGGGGTGGGCAGAGAGGATGGGAAGAGGAGAACGCGGAGGAGGACTGGGAGAAGGAGGTGAGAGGAGGCGGGGAGGAGCAGGCGCTGCGGCAGGGACAGCCCAGGAGGGCGCCTGCGCGCGCCCCACGCTCGGCGAGGGCCCCTCCCCGAGCGCAGGACAGGCGCGCAGCGGTGATGCGGTCCCAGCTCCGTTCCGGCGGCGGGCCGAGGGGGGGAAGCGAGACGGGGGAGGGCCCCTGCCGGGCGCAGGGGGCAGGCCTTCCCAGAAGGCGGCGGGGCTGCTCAGAGAAGGCCTCGCGCCCTCCGAGGAGCCAGGGGCTCCCACGAGGGCGCGAAGTGCTTCGCGCTTCGCGGTCCTCGTTCCTTCTCCCCCTCCTCCTCGTCCTCCTTTTCTCCCTTTGGGGGGGGGCGGCGCGAGAACGCGAAGTTGGGAGCCCTGGGAAGCTGTCTAAGCCTCCTCCAAGGCAGGGACGGCTTCTCAGAAGGCTGGAGGGCTTCTGAGAAGCACTCTGGCCGCACTTTCCGGGCACGCGCAGGATCCGTGGATTTGGCGGGTGGGTTGATGCAGTCATAGAGTTCGGCACGCTCTTTCGCCAGGTCGGGCGGCGTTGGTCTCGCATTCCAGAGGTACCTTCCCTGCTCCCTGGATCTGGCGGCCACGCGCCAGATCCACGGATCCCTGATCCGTGGTATTGGTAGCGTTTGTGCCCGGAGAAGGCGGCCGGGTTTCTCAGAGTCTTTCGTCCTTCTGAGAAGCCGTCTTTGTCTTCGGAGAAGGCTTGGACAATTGTTCGGAGGTCGCGAGGGTTTCTGAAAAGCCCCGCCGCCTTCTGGGAAGGCCTGCCCCTTCTCACTGTCCCCCTCGGCCCGCCGCCCGAAGCACAGCCCCGTTGCCATGTGGAGCACCGTCCTCGTACTCGTCGCGCACGTAGAGTCCCATGGATCCGAAGTCGTGCCTCCGATCTCCTGGGATGCATCCTGAGAACATCCTCATCCAACATGGATTCGGCCACCCGTCTTAGTCGGTGTCATGCCCTTTCATTGAACGTGATTGACGCAGGACCCGACTATCTCCTTGAACTTGGACCGAACGTTTCGCCCAGCGTCTGCACGGCGCCGCACTTTCGTCCCCGCGGCGCTCGCCTTTCGTGCCTCGGTGCACGTGCCGCTGTGAGGAGACCATCGCTGCGGCCGCCTGCGCAGTCTTCTTCAGAGGGCGAAGCATTGGCCCACTCGTGCGCACGGCATTCGAGGTACCTCAGTGGCGTCACGGTTGCGTTGGCGGGCTTGTGATCGTGCTACATAACAAACCCCAGTCCCGATCCCGTGGATCGTTGGTTCGGGGTGGTCGGGACTCGGGGTCGGGTTGTATCCTCTTCTTCGTCTTCTTCTCACTTCTGGACGGGGCCACCAGGACCGATGGATGCTCAAACAGAATAGTCAGGGCAACAGGTTCGAAGTAGTGCCCAGCATGAGTTTGAAGGTTGGAGGTTTGATCGGCTGAGAGTTGCCCAACTGCTCACCAGCAACAATTTCTGCGGCCGCATGGTAGTCGAAATTTGCTTCGTGCCACGCCTGTGGTTCACATCGGTGCCCCGGGCGGTGGATATGAATACATCCCCGCCTCGCAGCAGCAGGGCCGGCACCACTCCCTGCGCCAGGGTCATGTACATCTTGACCTCGGAGTCTCTTAGGCGCGAGGAAGCTCATGAGAGGCCTCGAGGGCCTGGCGAGTCTGGACAGGACACCGCGAGCACCGAGCCGATCCGATTCCGCTCCTCGAGTTGTGCAGGCCTGGCGCTGCCGCCCGCGATCTCTGGCCAGCTCTCGCCAGGGGTGGCTGCTCGGAGCCCGAGAAGAGATGATGGGGAGGCGGCGGAGGAACCGGAGGAGGAAGAGGAGGAGGGCGACGATAAGGAGGGGGAGAATAATGAGGTCGAGGAGAAGGAGGAGGAGCAGGAGCAGGATGAGGAGGAGGAGGAGGAGGAGGAGGAGGAGGAGGAGGAGGAGGAGGAGGGGGCGAGGACAAGGATGAGGGTGAGAACAATGATAAGGATAATGAGCAGGCGGAGCACGAGGACGAGGATATTGAGGGGAGGAGGAGGAGGAGGAGGAGGAGGAGGAGGAGGAGGAGGAGGAGAAGGAGAATCAGCAGAAGATTGTATCAGCACTTTGTCGGGGGCAGGCTCAATTAACGTTTGCAGCAGGGTGGATTGCATGCCTACTACGGGGCCCTTTTGCATGTCTGTGTCTCACCAGACCTCTTGGTCCCTGACCAGGCATCCGCAATCACAACCCGACTCACAGATCTCAGATCGTCTTTCTGATCATGGAGCAAGTTCACAGGAGGAGACGACGGACATTCGTTCAGGCACCTTATTTCAAACCCAGTATGCCTGCTAGGAGGCCGTCGACATTCGACATGTTGTTTCCCCGCTTGCACACATCAAATAGCCTGATGTTGGGAAGGCGGCGTGTCCGTCGGCAGTATCGATCCGCTTGCTGCCGTGGCTGATTTCAACCAGATCGACACCAACGCAGACGGTGTCCTCTCTCGGTCCGAGTTCATAGAAGCTGCTGGCGAGAGGGGATGATATCAAGGGCAGTGGTCAGGGAAATGCGTGGTGTGTTAGAAGTCAAGCTTTCCGAGGTTGCTGAGGCGCCCCGAGCACGTCTCGTCACACACGAAGCGGTCTGTCAGGAAGGAATCACATATGTCTGAAGGTAATATTCCGTCCTGGGTTGCAGCAGCCCTCTCAGCACATCTCGTGATCTCTCTCATTTCTTGATCTTTCCTCAGTCTCTCCCTCTCTCGCTCACTCTCTCCCTCTCTCTCTCACTCTCTCTCTCTCTCTGCTAGAAAGAGAGTTTTACGCGATCCCGCCGACCCTGAGAAGATGATATGGGCGGCTTCTCATGTCGTATGTATTGTATGGCGCGTCCCGTCCTGCTGTCTGCGTGTATTTGTTTCTAGGTTATCCCCTCTTCCTCCGCGTCAGTTGTGCAGCTTCTTGGGGCATCTTGGAGGCTTCGGGGCTTGTTGGGAGCCTTTTCAGAGCTCCTGTGCTTTGTGGGGCCCTGCGAGGGCTGCTTGGGGTCTCTTCGGGACATCTCGGGGGCATGCTGGGCGTCTTGGGAGGCATCCTGTGGGGGGGAGGGGGGGGGCTCCCTGGCCCCTGCGAGTTCCCCCTCTTGGACCTCTCTGGCCCCTATTGGGGCCATTCGGATTGCCTTCTTGGCAGCCTAGGGGGCCTCATGGGCAGTTTTGGGGCCCTCTTGGGCCATGTCTGTGCCATTTGGCGGGCCTTGTCGAACGTGTTGGGCCAATATGTGGGTCTTGTCGTGCCGTCTCGGCGGAGGTCGTGCTTCCGTGCTTCGCCCTTGGTTGCGGCAGTCATCTCAGCACGTCGCTCTCTCTCTCTCTCTCTGTCTCTCACCCTCTTACTTATCGTCCTCTATCCCTCTCTCTATCATTTGTTGTTTGGTGTCTCGTTCGCTTTCTTTCATGTTTGGTTCCCTCTCTCTCCCTCTCTCTGCATACATGCATGCATACCTGCATCCGTACATCCACACAGACACACACACACACACATACATGCACGCAGACATGCATACATATACACATGCATATACGTACACACACATACGTGCATATATACTTATATATATATATATGTATTCACACACAAGTGCAAATTCACAACCATCTACATGTACATATAAACATTCATGCTCATATACACGCATACACATACATACACACACATATATATATATACATACATGTGCATGTACGCATGCTTACACATTTGCATACATGTATGCATGTGAATACGCATGCATGCCTGTAGGCAACACATACATGACGGTACCCATACACACATACATATATATATATATAGATATACACATATATGTAGACATGAATACGCCCATGCACATACCTACATCCATCTTTACCTACATCCATACATGCATACATACACACATACCTGCAGACGTACGGACGGACGGACACACACGTATATATACATATATGCATATATATATATATATATATGTATGCATACGTACATGCGTGCGTGCGTGCGTGCGTGCATACGCACATACGCACACACGCACATGCATGGATGCATACATACATACATGCATACACACATACATGCATACATGCAGACACATATACATACATATACATATACATGCACACAGACAGGCAGGCATACCGACAGACAGACAGACAGACGGACACATGCACACATGTAGATACGTACATACGTACGTACGTACTTACCGACCTACGATCGATCGGACGCACATATGTGCGTACATGCATGCATGCATACATACATACGTACGCACATACATACATATGTGTATAGGAATGGCCGCACCTCTCTCTCTCTCTCTTTCTCCCTCTCCTTCTCTCTTTTGCTCCCATCTCCATCGAACTGGCGCTCCGCATTGTCTCTCCACATCTGCATTGGTCGAACTCGTCCTCTTCTCAAACTCTATCTTCTGAGACTGTTCCCCTCTCTCTTTATCTGTCTGCCTCTCCTTCTCTCTCTCTCTCTCTCCCCCCCTCTCTACATATATATTTCTTTATCTATCTCTCTGTATTTTCTGCTTTTCTTTCTACCCGTTGCCCTACTCTCCCTCTATTGTTGTTTCTTCTCGAACTCTCTGTATCTCTTTGTTGCTCGTTTCCCCCCTCCCTCCCTCATCCCTCTCCGCTGCCATCGCCCATCTCTCTCCCTACCCCTGGGGGGGACGCCATCTATCGAAGACGCCTATGACGATTCTGTCAGAAGCGCCTTGGTAGCCTCCCTGGGCCTCTTTGGGATGTTTTGGGGCTTCTCAGGGGCCTGTTTAGTCGTCCTCGGGCGTTTCTGGCCCGTCTGACGCCGTCGGAAGCCGTCTTGGATGCCTCTCTGAACCGATTTTGGGCCCTCTTGGGGCGCTTCGGGGCCGTCTTGGAGGCCATCATGGGCAGTTGGGAGGCTTCTTGGGTCGTCTTGAGCTCCTGTTGGGGCCGTCTCGACGGGGCGGCCCGCCCAGGCCCAGTGCGCGGCATCACGGCTCGGGACGGCGGTAGGGGTCGAACCGCAGAGCGGAACCGACCAGGGGGGAGGGGGAAGCAGCGGCAGGCGGCAGCCAGGGTGGCAAACCGGGTTCGGGAACCGCAATGGTGGAGACCCCCCTAGTGGGCAGCAGACGCTGCAGACAGGGCACCGACGGGGGCGGCCCAGCGCTGGGTCGCTTGGCGAGGGGCGGTGCGCCAGGGGCTGGGCGGAGCGGGGGAGGCAGAGGGGGGCCGCCCAAGCGCGACCGCGCACCGCCTGGGTTGGACGATGCGCGGGAGCCTAGGATGGGAACGCGTTGTGGAGGCGCGGCGAGGAGCACCTAACCGGTGTGCGCATTGGTGGGATAGGTAGCGGGCGGCGCACATCTGGGCTGCACGGGCGCAGCCGCAACCACGGGCGGAGCCAGGTGTAATGGATCACCTATCTTGTGCGCGTGCCAACTGGCTCACCGCAGTCGCCAACACGGCCGAGTAGGCGAATGCTCCAGCCTGGTGTGTACGGTGGTGGACTAATCACGCGGGCCAGCCAGGGTACATGCTTCGACATTTCGGGAGTCTCCTGGGTTGGAAGGTACGCGCGGATCCGGCACAACCAGGTAGAAGGAAACACCTAATTGGTGCGCTTGCTAGGTGGGAATGCATGCCGGGCTCTTGGGTTGGACGCCTGCGCGCGCGCGATGTTGCGGGCCCTGGCGTGCCCGGAAGGGCGGCGGTCTCTCCGTCTGGGCCTCTGCGCTTCACAAGCCTTGCAGCCGGGATTGGTCTCCTGCAGGCCAGGTTGGCCCGTTGTGCCTCTGGGCGCTCTGCCCCTTGCTGGCCGTCTGCCCCTGCCTGTTTTGCTGCTGTCGCCAGACAGTCCCAATCCACGTCCAGGCGTCGGTTGTTGCAAAGGCGCCTAATGCCGTAGTCCACGGTGGCCAGCTCTGCCAGGAAGGCCGCGCAGAACCCCTCGTGGCCGCTGGGGTTGCAGGTGCCCTTGCACTGGCGTTTCCCGTTTCGCCAGTCGCAGGCCTTGTTCCATCCCTCCACGAAAAGCGCGCCGCACGCTTCTTTCAAGTGGTTGACCACCTCCGCCCACGTTCGGGTCCTGTTCTCTGAGCGACGCCAGTGGAGGTCGACTTTGGGAGTTCGATGCAGCCGGCCCGGCGTTCGGCCCATTTCTTCAAGCCGGATGCGCCCATGGAGGCATCTCTCTCGCCCCAGGTCGTGCGGTTTCAGTGGCGGTTTCGGCCCTTGTTCCAGCGCGACCATCTGTCGGCCCAATTGGCCTCCCCTCGTCCTGATAGGGTGGGTCTCCAGAGCGCCTCAACATCGTACGGCACCTCTGTGACCGGGGGCCTGGCTGTGCTGTCGGCTGCCTGCGCGGCCTCCAGGGCGGCATTGCTTGCGTTCCCCCGGACGTCCCTGCAGGGTTTGCCCTTTTCGGACGGCCAGGCGAAGGTGTAGCTGACTCCCCTGGTCCCACTGTTAGCCAGGACCCGCCTATGCGGACGCAGAGGTTGGTGCTTGGGTGCGCCTGTTTGACCAGCCCCATGGTTATGCCCCAGGACACACACACATACACTCCACTTCCCCCAGTGGCCGAGCGAACTATCTGCAGCAAGAGCTAAAGCGGGGCACGTCTAGCGTCAGTTTTAGCTCCACCTGGCGGTGCAGATGGGGTACTGCGGTGGATGGATCGTCGTACAGAAACAAGAAAGCGGCTGCGCCAGTCGAGCGCGCGTGGCGGAAGGCGGAATCCAGGTGTGCAGAGCGCAGGAGGAAAAATCGGAACCTGAAACGACACACACACACATGCACGCACGCACGCACGCACGCACGCACGCTCGCTCTCACGAACATGCAGGCGCGCCGCGCACCAACATTCGCCCTCTCTTCGCTCTCCCCCACACACACACACGCACGCACGCACGCACGCACGCACGCACGCACGCACGCACACACACACACACACACACACAAACAAACACACACACAAACAAACACAAACACACACACATACACATTCGCAACCAAACAACCACCATCGGCATTCTCCCTCCTCCTCCTCCTCCTCCTCCTCCTCCTCCTCTTCCTCCTGAGCCCCCACGGCACAAACCTTTTTTTTCGCGCGGGGCGAGCAGCGCCCCCATACATGTCTCTGACTGTCCTTACACCCCCCCAAGGTGTTGTTTTCGGGCGGCCATGCACATACGCTGCTGCGCCTGGAACCCGCTTTCCATGCGGCAAGCGGGCCGATGGCAGGACGTCGCCAGGCAGTTCGAAGCTGCGGCATCGTCGGCATCTCTGGCACACAGCTCACCACGGATACCCCATGGGCTCAAGATCGTTTGGGGCGATTTCTTCGCTTTCAGTGGGGTCGCAGCGGTGGGCAAGTTGGACGACCTACGGGATGTACGCTGCTGGTGAGAGACAAGTTTTTTCGCCTAGTCAAGTGCGAAGAGTTTGGACGTTCACAGGTGACTTATCGGGGAGGCTGGGCGCGGTCAGGTTCAAGTCGGACCAGACGGACGTGACGACCATCGTGGGCTACGCCCCCGTCGAGCCGCCATGGGAACGTGGCCGCGCGGCGGCCATCAGGTCGTGCACGCAGTTCTGGGACACGCTGAAGGCGCTGTTATCCGAGCTGCCTGCGCGAACGGTGCCCATCATTTTGTTGGGCGCCAACGCGAGAGTCGGGTCAGCGTTGAGCGAGGCCGCGGGGCCTTCCAATATCGATCGGGAAAATGCAAATGGAGGTTTCTTTCGGGAGGCCCTTGAAGAGCATCACTAGTGCGCAGTGAACACGTTCTTCGTGTGTTCGCTTACGTGCTACCATGGTGACGGTGTTTCCACAGCGAGAGTTGACTACATCTGCCGTACTAGAGACGTTGGGGGTCACGCAGTATCTTGTCGCGTATGGGAACAGACGGGCGCCGCTCTGCAGCTCATCAACACTCGTGGCCGTCGGGGTCATTATCCAGCGGTCGCTGCGTTGCAAGTGGGGCCTTGCTTTTCTGCAGAGACAGATCATATTACATTGGATCACAAGACATTGAGCAGGGCAGCTCTAGTCGGAGAAGAGCGACAGGAGTTCTTGGTGGACGTGAACCGCGCAGCGGGACAGGTGGCGTTCAATTCAGAGACGCTGGCGGGGCAACGTTCCGATTCATTGTACTTGGATTTTCATAGCGCAGTGATGCCAGTAGCTACGAAGTACTTCGAGAAGCAGCCCAAGCAGGTGGAGAGGCCGCAGGATACTACTGAGGCGCTTGCCACGCGAACCCGTCTGCGTGCAGAGCTGCGATCTCTCTGTGCCTTCCCTGCCCTTCTCCCCCCCTCCCCTCTGCCCTCTGTCCCTACCCCTGGTGTGTTCGATTACCTCCCCCTCGCTGCGTGTGGAGTGATCGTATGCACGTGCGCTTGCTTTCGCATTGTGTTGCGTGATGTGAGTGGTCTCGCCGAGCGTCGTGCGCTGTGTAGGAAGGCTGACCGTTCGGTGAGATATTCCACGCGACGTTCCAGAAACCGCGCTATCGGGCTGCGGGTGTCTGAGTTGGAGTGCCCCTGGGACGGGCGTAGTTTTGCGGTTTCTTGGGGATTAACCAGGAAGCTTAGCGGTAAGTCGCTAGGCCCGAAGTTGCGTCTACACTCTACCCCCCGCGTGTTTTTAGACTGTAACACTTGGTCTGATCATTTGTCTCAGCAGGGGGGCTAGGGGGGCTCTGCCGCATCTGCTCCCGAGTATGATGGGGAGCTTGACGAGCGGCTTACCCGCGACCCTAGAGGTGAAGATATGAGCCCTGGGTTTGTTGCCACGATAGGTGTTCGGTAAGATCCCTGGGTTCTTTAGGCGCGTGAAACTTCGCCGTGCACCTCCGTCGCGGTCGTTCCCGGCCGGCGTGTGGCGCATGCTGTTTTGGCCGAAAGAGTTTAAACCGAAACAACGTGCAGGTCTAGGGGCTGAAAACGAGAGTTGGGATCTACTAGCGATTACGCATTGTCTTTTTATGATCATCGCTGCTGTATAGGTCCATGCCGAAGCTCCGCTCATCTGGCGCTGTAATCACGCGTTCACTCTTAGTAAAGCTAACGGCAAGATCGACTGCGCGGGGCTCCGACTGGTGCACTCTCTTGACCCTTTCGGCAAAGCGTTCTACAAGTACCTTTGGAAAGCTAATCCTGGACTCACTTGAGAGGCCCCCCGAAATTGCGCACACGGCTACCTGGAGCATCGGAGGGGGGATGGGGCCATCCTAGCGCAGGGCCTGGTCCAGGAACGCCTGAGGGATGCAGGACGCAGCTATTGCGCAGAATTCTACGACGCGGCGAATGCGCCCCACAGCGCGTCGCACGAGATGCTGCTGATGCTTATCCGCCTGAACGCGGACGAGTACGCCACCGCTCTTTTTTGCACAGCGCCTGCGGCGCGGACATGCCAGCCTAGCATGTGTTGACGGTATTATGGAAATGGGTATCGAGTCGGGCAATCCTCCTGGAGATTATTGCATGTCTCAAGTTCGTGGGTCCGTATCATTGGTCAGTTGATGGAATTGTTTCCCCCGAGTGCCCTGGGTTCAGCGTTTCGATCCCCTGGCTGAAACACTGCCTGGCTGATGACTTGTCCGATCGCGTGCGTTTGTGTTCTTGGTCGGAGAAGCCGACCGAGGTCTCCTTAACTTCGTTCGCTCATGATCTGGCTAAGACTCAGCTGGTGCGTTCGCTCGAGGGCTTGATCCGTCTTAATATCACCAATATCGAACATTTTAAAGACGGACCCAGCATCGCGAACGCGCAGGCCAATTCAGGCAAGCGAAGGGCGCTCAAGCTGCTCCACGCCGTCTTTTCGGTGGAAGGTACCTTGCAGAGACAGGGATCTGGGGGTTGAGGAGTGTGTGTGTGTGGGGGGGGGGGGGGGCTATATCAGGAAAGGTTTCTCGCTCTTGCAGATACTTGGGGCCTCTTTGACAGGCTGGTGGAAGTGATGTAGCGGAGATCCCTCGGCGAGCACAGAAAGCCAGGCAGGGGCGTCAGATGCTTCGAGGTTTTTGGCAGCAGTGCGCGAACAAGCGCTGGAACAGTATTGTCTTCCGCTCTTTCGTGGAAGGCGCCCCGGTCTCGGGGCTCGCTTCTCTTGTTATTTCTCCGGCAGCGCGTGTGAGATTGGCGGAGCGCAGGCGTCTATGGTTAGGAGGCTTTTGAGGGGCAAAGCATGTGGGGAGCAGCAACAGGAGGAGGAGGAGGTGCAGCATCACGCCATGACGAACAAAAACAAGTTTTGCCTGAGCTACGAATGGTTCCGGCCTCACTTGCCGCGCGCGCTCAAAGGATTAAGCGGCGGCAGGAAGTTTCTCGGCGGCCTCGCTGCAATCTGCAACTACTCGGGGCTATGTTTGGAGAGAGCCACTGGGGGGGTGGGGAGTTGAAGAGTCTTGATCGCGAGGGATTTCGCATCGGCCCGATCCGCTCTTGGCGGTCTCAGTTTTTAGAAGATGTCGCCGAGCTGTTCCGCGTTGGCGAGCGCGTGCAGTTTTATTTCAGCTTGTGCAAGAGAGACCAGTAGCAGTATTTTGTGACGAGGAAGTGCGCGATGCGTTCCTTGCAGCTGATCTTCGTGCCTTGGTAATCGAGTACCTAGGTAAACAGATGCCTTCTCCCTTGTCCTGTGGGTCCTCTTCCCCTTCTTCCCCTGCCCCCCCTCCCCCGCCCTCGCTCCCTCCCCCATCCTCCTGGGCTTGTCTGTGGGATTAGCCTGGGGGGGGGGCATCTGTGGCGCCGAATACCCCACGAGGCGTCACTTACGGCTTCATCAAGCGAATCCCCAGCTACCTGATCACGCCTATCGTGAACTTGCTAGAGTAGTAACCGTGTCCAATGCGTGTATCTTTTGTGGGAATAGGTATAGCATTAAACGGATTGCGAGTGAACACTTACTCAAAAACCTGACAAACAAATCGTGTCCCAGGTCCCGAGGCTCCTCTACGGTGTTTCCCCACATGGTCCCTCCTCCGTATGAGTGTCAGCTTTGCGAAGTCACGTCCAGCAGCTATTCTGAGGTTCAGTGGCATCTCCGTCAGCACTTACCCTTGGACGATCAGACTTTGGGGACCTCCTAGCTGCGCGCGAATGGCGTTCCCTCAGTGGGGCGCTGTCTTTGGCCAGATCGGCGCGGCGGCTCCTGCGGCCGAAGGTGGTGGAGGTGAGGCTGATGCGGGTGCTCGTGTGAGCAAGCGCATTGGTGTTACGGGTGGCAGTACTGAGAAGAAACTCGACACGGCGCTCAAACTCAGCGTCATCAGTGCACAGCGTAATCGTCTGCTCGAGGCGGCCTGCACGACCCAGTTCACCCTCAAAATGGCGGATCCCATTTACACCTCGATGAAAGAGGCGCATGACAAAGAGCACCTTCCTCGTGTGAAAGGCGAGCGTGGTCACGGTTTGGGCGCCCCCGACAGCTTCATGTTCATTGGTGTTGTCGTGACGCTGATGTCGCGCGGGAACCCTGAGCAGCATGCGGTGCTGCGTAAATTGTTGGACAACTTTGTGCGCGGCAGCATACCAGCCCAGATGTTGATCAAGCTTTTCCGCACGGAAAGGATGTACGATTCCAAAGTGCGTAGGTTGATGATCGCTATCAGTGAACCCGTTCTCGAGGCCACTATCGTGCAGCTGCTAATTTCCTCGAAAGAAGAGGTCACTGTCTTCGCTGGCCCGCGTCCCGCTGGCTATCTCGAGCTTGAGAGCAGGCTTTGGTCGCTCCTAGGTAGCAGAGTGCCCAGGCGCCGCGGCTCTGACGATCTTCGGCCGTGCGCCGACGTATGCCGACGGGCAACGTCGCTGGCGCCCTCCAGTTGTGGAGTGCCGAGGATGAGCTTTGAGGGGGGAGCCCCAGTTTAATCTCCCAAGATCGCTGGAGGTTTGGTCTCAGTGGAGCCTAACCTTACCTTTTGCCTCCTCCTCCTCCTCCTCCTCCTCTTCCTCCCCCCCCTCCTCCCCCTCCTCCTCCTTCTGTCAAACGAACATATGGGCGCGGCCTTTCTTTCCACACCCATATGGGCGCGGCCTTACCCGCAGTAGGGCCGGATTTGCGCTCGCCCGCTCGTTCGCTCTTCTCCCGTCTCCCTCTTCCTCTCCGGGAGGAGGGGCGCCCAGGCGCAATCAGCGGGGCGTCTGACACGCGGGCCTCCAAGGAGTTCGGCGCGCTGGATACGAACGGCGACGGCGTCAGCCCTGAGCTCCTGCCAGAGCAGCCCGCCAAGCCCAGAATCTCGCGGGTCCACTCTTTGTGCCCTCCTTGTATCTCTTGCGCCTCCTTGCGAGCCTCTTCGCCCAAAGTCCTCCGAGTTGAGCTGTGCAAATGTGTCTGGTCGCTCTGGGGCCTCCCAGGGGGTCACGGGGACACCCGGAGACATCCAGCCCACTCGGCAGGCCGAGGGAGGCAGAAGAGCAGGCTTCCAAAGCACAGCCAGAGCATCGCCGCCAGGAGGCTTGGGCAAGGAAGGACAAACCTCCCTCGGCGGTCAGAGGAGCGTTTGAGGAAATCCTGGGGAGGGACCCAAGGAAACCTGATCCCCTTGCGACGCCAGAGCGGCCCCCTGACATCCACCGATATGATTTTTTCCATCAGCAACCCCTGAGGCCCCGACCGCTCCCCTTGGAGTGTTTCGTTCGCCCCGCATTAATTGTTTGTTGTCTTGGGGTCCCACAGCGGCCCTGGGAAGCCGAAAGCGAGGAAACACAGTGGGGTTGAAATCATCCGCTCGTCTCGGGGCTCAAGAGACGGGGGTCAATGCAAACCGGGGTTAGGGCGATCGCCGCACCTTGCAGGATCCTGCAGGGCCAGGGCTGCACTGACCCGGGCGGGTCTGCATGCAGGATCCTGCAGGATCTTGCAGGTTTTGGCACGGCTCGGCTGACCCGGGCTGGGATTGACCCGGGCCAGTCGAGCCCCGATCGTCGGAGATTTGGCTCCTTAGCCCACCCGTTTTGACCAGAGCCCCTGTCGACCTGAGCACGGAGGGCGTGCCCCCGGCGGCCGCCCACAGCGCCGCCTCGTCGGCTCGGCGCCTCACCCTGCGGGCGCCCCGCCCTTCGGAGGGGGCTTGCAGCAAGCGTGTGTCTTTGCTGCTGTTTCGGGGGCTCAGCGGCTCCAGCGAGCGTGGTAAATGGTTCATCCCCCTCATTTCCCTAAATATTCTCTCCTCCTGCTCCTCCTCATGTTCCTCCTCCTCCTCCTCCTCCTCCTCCTCCTCCTCCTCCTCCTCCTCCTCTTTCTCCTCCTCCTCCTCCTCCTCCTCCTCCCCATTTGCTCCTCCTCCTCCTAGTTGTCCTCTTCCTCCTCCTCTTCCTCCTCCTCCTCCTCCTCCTCCTCCTCCTCCTCTTTCTCCTCCTCCTCCTTTTCCTCCTCTTTCCTCGCCGACTAGAACGGTAGGTATCCTTTTGCTCGCCCTGTTTCCTTGCCAGCCCTTCTGCCGCCGTGTGCGGCTCAAGGGTGGCCACCGAGCGTACCCGTTTTAGATGCGTGGTGTCACGTTTTAGTCATCCGCTCGCGCCAAAACATCCGCTTTCATCGCGCATCTCCTGTTGAATCTTTTCCACCGCCTTTGTTGCCATGGCCCGCGTGGTTTTCTCGCCCTGTCAGGCGTCGGCCACCACAACATTCACACTTCCGCTATCAGTCCCTCCAGCATACCACCGTCACGGTCACGCTGGACCGTTTTCGCGGTGTTCATCCCCGTTGTCTTCTCGACCAGGGACAGCGACGACATGAATCTCAACCCGTTTTATTAAAACGCGTACGAAGACACGCGCGGCGCCCAGTCGCCCTGGTTTGCTCTGTATCCTGGGCGTGCGCAGACCATGTCTGGGCCCCTCGTGGATCCGAGAGCCGCCAATAATGAACAATTGATCGGTGCAGCGTTCACATCGGGGGTACCGGCCGAGGGCCCCGAGCGTGTCGCGGCTGTGTCACGAACGCTCTTGTAAGACACAGTGAAAAAGTGTGCAGTCCGTGGGGGGTATGGCGACTATGCTGTCAGCCTTCTTAGGGACAGCGAAACAGATCTAGGAGTAGATGTTTTCGGTCTCTTGGAATCTGGTGTATCACCGCACCCACCCAGCCCCGTCAGTCTGGCAGAACGGCAGCCCGATGTGCACTCCTCTCGACGGTCTGGCAAGTGTTGGTATTCAATACACGACGCACGACGGGCATGTTGACAATCATGTTGCGAGGTGGCCCAAGCGTCGAGAACGCGACAAAACAAAATCGCAATGGAAAACCGCGCCCAATGCGCTGACGAGGAGGAATACACCCGGGCAGGCACCCGCGGCGGCTCAGATGCTCATGGTCAGGGCAACGCCGCCGCGTGGCCCCTGGCCTCCAGCACTTCCTAGACCTGCGGACGGACATGCACCCCATATGGAAGACCGTCGGAGTGGGCGGCATGATTGCCGCGGCCAGCTGCTTGACCTGCATGGGCGCAGGCGGCGGTGACGCGCGACGACTCCGCACCTGGGACTCCGAGGAACCATCCCGATTGCTGTTCCGGCGGCAAACGGGAAGTGATGATCTGGTCAGCGGCGAATTCAATAGCATCTTCGCGACTCACCAGCACGGCGCGTGAGTTCGCTGATAGCTTGCTGCTGGTTGCCCCGGCCCAAGGAGGGCACATCAATGGCAACCCAGTGCCACCGATACCTCCCCAACGCGCAGCTGGCCGAACGACGGGGCCAGCTGGGCGAGGGAGAGCGCGCCCCGGCAGCTTCGGCCTTCATGAAATTCATCAGATTACCGCAGGAGCGCTTCAAAGCTGGGTCAATTCATGATCGGCTACAAGGGTCTCAGCTACCTCCTCCTGCGCGCGGTCGGAGTGTCACGGGTTCAAGTGAGCCTGAGATTGCAGCGCAGCCACATGGCCCGCCCGACCAACGCAGCACGGCTCGCGCAAAGGACGGGCCAGCTGTGACGCTTCGGGCACATAATCGAAGGATCGCCTGACAATCTCGCCCCGGCGGCCCACCCAGCTCAGCGGGGGGCCTTCTCGCGGGCACTCCCGCGCACGGTCGAGCTCAGCGCGTCTATGCCGCCGCGGCTGGATCGGGCTGCGACGGCCTGGGCCGGGCTGCCCTGGGGGCAGCGCCGAGCCCATCTGCGCTGGAACCGCCAGTGCAGGAGGCGCCCCCATCAGCCAGCGTCGACTCACGCGCAGGACGCCGACGCCGCCGGCTCATTCGGCGATGGAGAACCAGCCGCCGACGATCCCGAAATACGCGGCGCTCTCGCGGGGCAGCGCGGCGCGCGAGAATTCTGGGCCAACGGGCGCGCCAAGGCACGCTGGCGACGCGACGCTTCAGGGGCCGCAACTCCGCGCGCCGCGCCCAAGGGGTCATCGAACGGAAGGCGAGGGCCACGGCGAAGGCAATGGCGCTTTCCTGGCCGACTTGTCCGGCAATGGATTTCGAGAGACGTTCGCGGGCTTGGGCAGGGCGAGGGCTATGGGGAAATGAGATCGAGGACCAGTGGAATGGGTTTGGCCCGCCAGGTCAATCCCATGGGCCCTGGCGGGGTGCGTCTCAAATGCTGCGAGTACGACACAGAGGAACGCCTCGTGCGCGACTGCTCCTGGCGCCGCATCCATGGGCGCGCTCCCTCCTTCGACGCATTCGCCCCGCCGCGGGCGCCCGCCCCGCTGGGCAGCGTAGCTGAGCGGCCGTCCTTGACGGGCGCGCGCGCGGTTTGGGCGACTGGGGGCGCCGAGGGGCCCCCTCGTGGCCGAGGGCCCCGGCGAGGTCGATCCCGCGCAGGGCCCTGGCCCCCAGAGTGGCGGACAGCCAACAGCGGCCAGCGGCGGCAGTCACTGCCCCCAGTTCGTAGCCCGACGGCTCGCGGCGACAGGTGGGCCGCGGTCAGTTGCCGCGATGGGCCGGCACGGCGTCGCAGTCGTCGTCGCCGCCCGATCCGCGCGGCGCCGAATGCGACGACTGCGACAGGAGATGGCGGGCCTTGTGGCTCATGGGTCGCGCGCCATCGGGCCCCGCGACTACGTCGCAGGCCCGCGAGGCGGCGGCGGGGAGGCCTGCGCCGGCCGCGCCCGCGGAGCCGACTGCTCCAGCGGCATCGCCGGCACCGCCGCAGCGGGCCCGAGTGGGCGGTTAATTCCATCTGGGGCGAGGGCGCGACCTGGCTCGGCGGCTTCAACGCGCAAGCCGCCAGCACTGGGACCTCGGCTGCCGACGCGCAGTTGCCGAATTGGGCGCGCTCGCCTGCGATGGCCCCACTTGGCGCCGGCGCGCCACGTGGATCGCGTTCCGCGGGGCCGCCGACGTCGGCGCAGGCGCCCGCGGCGCCCCCGGCGCTGGATTTCCTTTTATGGATGGGTTCCTATTCAATCAGGACACTCCAGTAGACGCGAGCAAACCATTTCGGAGAGTAGCCATGTGGTTCGCCGGCCGCGGGGCCTGGGTGTCCGGCGGCGGCTGGCCCGCGCGCGGCACGCGCGCCGCTCTCGATTGCGCCCGGCGACGACGCCTCGACGAGCTTTGAAGCACCCAGGGGGCACTTGAGCGGATGCGACAGCGGGGCGAGCATCAGCGCTGCGCCGCGCAGAGTTGGACGGTCACCTTTATCAATCCTCGCCCCGCGCCGGTGGCAGCGCCCGCTGCGCCCCCATTTCGTTTTCGCGGGCGACGATGGGGAGTGCCCCGCCTGTCTCGAGGCCGTCGCTCACTGCGAGAGGGTGGCGCGCACATTATGTCGATGCATCCTGCGCCGCCCCGTGGCGTCTCCAAGTGGCGCTGAACGCAGGCGCCGGATCGGTCCAGTGCCCAGCGCGCCGCGAACCAGCCGACGTCGTCGCCGACTTCCGTATCATTTTTGAAGACCGCGCGCGCGGGCCCGACGTTCCGGCGCCGGCCCGCTTGGCGGATCTTGATCCGACGGGCCCAGCGCACGCAGCGCTGGCCCGCGCGGCGCCGGAAGATCGCAGGGATCATCTCGCAAAATTATCGGTGGTCTGACTAAGCTACCAGAGTCCGGGGAGACTACGGTGAGAAGAGGAGTAGAGGAGTAGGAGAGGAGACGATGAGGAGGAGCGCCGGCGAACGAAAGACGCGGGAGGAGAGAGAGGAAGAGAGGAGGAGGACGAGGGCTGGTCTGCTCCAGCATATATTATTCAGGGAGGCTCCAGATTTAGGTCCACGAAAGTTTGGCCCGCTGTCGTTCTGATAACCCATGGCCCCCCTGTTTGCTTCCCCCTCTTTGGACCTCCTCCGTAGTCATTGGCTCGTAGGCGCCCAATCGTATTCCGTGCTGCCCCTTTTTGTTTGATAAACTATCCTTCCCTCGCCCTGCGCGACACCTCCCCCGTCCACGTGTCCTCTGTATTGAGACATGGGCTCGCAATGAGTTTGTCATCGCAGCCTGCGACCTTGGCGATGGCGAAGGAGAGCGCAGCTTCTCGCATCTCGCGAATTACGGTCCGGAATGCGACGCAGCAAAGCGCGCAAGTGAGAAGTCCTGGTTTGCCGAACTACGTTGGTGGAGCAGCAGACAAATAGAAAGTAGAGCACGCGCGTGACAGACTGCCGATTCATCTAGTAGTCAGCTGTCTGCCGTTTTTTGCGTTGTCTGGGTGGCAGGGGGCTTGCGCGCGTTATCCGACGAAGCGCACCAGGGCATCATATTCTTTCGAGCACCCGGCTCGAATGGTAGGACTCCCATAGCTCGCCCTGTTTCCTTGCCCGCCTTTCTGGCGCCGGCTGTGGCCCAAGGGTGGCCCCCCAGCGTCGCTTGAGACGCGTACTTTACCGCTTTACTCATCCGCTCGCGCAAGAACATCCGCATCCATCGCACACGGTATAGTTTAGTCGCTGTGGTCCGCCATGCCCGCCGCAGGAGCCCCGAACCTGGCGCGCACGTTCTGCGAGCGACGGGGCACTGCCCTGATGCGATGGATCTTTTCGAATGACAGGTCAGTTGCTCCTCGTTTTTCCGAAACTCATGCCGTCTTTGCCGGCGTCGTGCACCATCCCAAACGACGATGTAAGACTAATTCCGCATTGACATCCTGGTTTGATCAGCGTTCTCGTCGGCCACGATGATCGGCGCGATGGCGCCTGTGCCCCTGATGCGTCGATTGGGTTTACATAGTTAATAGTTATGCGAACTCCGTCTCGATTGGCCGCTCGCCCTCCTTCCTCCTCCTCTTCTTCCTCCCCCCCCGCCCCTTCTTCCCCGTCCTCCTCCTCCTCCTCCTCCTCCTCCTCCTCCTAGCTCCTCCTCCTCGTCCTCCTCCTCCCCTCGTCCCTGGCTCCTTTTTCATATGCCCTGGTCGTTGGGCATATCCGGAGAGAACATGCGCCAGCATTGAGTCGTCCAAGAATCCAACCCCAAGGGTTTCACCGTGTGTGGTGTGCCCTGGGAACACAAAAGGGTTTTTGCAAGTCTTGAGCGAGATATTCGTCGTGCGGTTCGGCCATTGTTTGCCCACGTTGCGCCGCATGTTTTGATGTTCGTGTTTTTTGCGTCTCTAACGCTGTTGTTTGTGTTGTTGCGTTTGCCATAGCATGGCGTTTGCTGACGCACCCATCGCATGGTAACGGTTGGTTGTGTGAGCAATCGGTCAGCAAGGGAAGGCATGCGGCTAAAGCTCAGGTGTGCGCATTTATGAAATGCAGCCTGTTTGTGGCAAGACCTTATGAGCAACGCTCGTCGTTCCACTTTCCCGCGGGCCTCTATGCTCATTCTCGCCATGGCGAAACGAACGCTGTTCTGCTTTGACCGCGGAGGTGTCACGCAGTTTGCTGGCCAATGTGTTCGCCTTCGGGAACCGACGCCGGACACATCCGACACAAATAATCACTTGGCGCACCCCCGACCATGCTGGCGCCATCGTCGATTCCTGCTGAGAGTTTGTTTGTCTTCTTATGTTTCGTTGTTTCTTCTTGTTGTGTTTCTTATTATTATTATTATTATTATTATTATTATTATTCCCAAAGGCCTCACACTTGCGCCTGCTTCCTTCATGGCACTTTCCAGCTGGTGCCCCCCAGAGGCTGCGGAACGCCGCGATCCGTCTGGGCCATCGGGGGCGCAGAGGCGCAGTCCATTCGGAGCGTGGCGTTGGCCTTTGCGCTGTTTGAGCTCAGCCCGGCGAACAGAACAATTGCGCAACCTTGAACGTTTGAAGGTCTTGCGGCACGTCCCCCACCGTGCCAGCAAAGCACGCTATGTGCCGACCCTTGGAGCACTGGCGGGCCGTCACGTGTGGCACCTCTCGTTTCCACCCGGGGAGCCATCAGTTGGGGAGTGTCAGGGCCGTCGTGGGGCTGGCGTGGGTTCCTGTGAGGCAGCCTTGAGGCTCCCTTGGTGCCCGCTTGGGCCGTCTTGAGGCCTTCTTGGTTGTCTGTGGGGCTCCTTCGCGCCGCCGTGTGAGCAGTGCTTTGCCGCGCCCGTGGCCGTCTCGGGCAGTCTTGGCTGGAGCCCTGCAGCGGCCTTGCGGGGCCAGCCTGGGGTCCCTTGTGGCCAGCCCTAGGGGCTCTCCATGGACCGCTGGGGCCTCTCGAAGACCGGAAGGGGGGCCGATCTTGGATCGACGAACGCTGGCACCGAAGCACATTGAACAGCAGCTTCAACAAGCAACGTGTGGTATCCTGGGCAGCGTCCTGAGGGTGCCGTGGGGCATCCTGGGACCTCTCGAGCGCTTCTGCGGGGCTCCTACCCTGGGCGGCCTGGGTGGCCTGCCTGGTCGTTCGGGGAAGTCTCGGAGAGCCTTGGAGGAGCGCGCCAGGGAGGCGTCGGGGCGGCCCAGAGAGCTTCGGGAGACAGGGGCAATCCAAGCGGCACTCCGTCCGTGTCGAGAGGGGGGGGGGAACGATAAAATCACACAGGCCCAATCAGACAGCACCTGGCATCATACCGCTCCTCAACGCGCCAGGGAGCACGGTGGCAGATTTCGACCTGACGCGCGGTGCCATGCATCTGGGTGCCCGCGCGACACTTGCAACCAAAAGGGCCTTCGTCCTTCCTCCTTCTTTACTCTTTTCTGATCGGTATCCCCTCTGATTCTCCTCCCTTGCTGACCTGCCTGCCCCCAGAAATGGAAGGGGCAGCGGATCTCCCGAGCAGAATTCGACGCTGGCAAGAGGGAAGCCAACGCAGGAGGGGCTTGGGAGGAGCAGGTTGGGGAGGGGGAGGAGGAGGCGTGGACGAGGATGAGGACGGGGGAAGCGGAGGAGGCGGCGGCACGCGACTCCAGAAAGATGAGGAGGAGAAGAAGGAGGTCCACGACGCTGCTATACGCTGTCCCAGTCTGCGGTCATGCGAAGCGTTGGTGGCCGTGTTTCTCGGCTGGGCCACGCGTGCGGAAGCCGAACGCCATCAGTAACGTAACGTGTCGGGGAGTCTCGCTTTGACTCGGCGATGTGGGCACCCAGGGTCTCTGCATGGAAGGCCCACCGAGGATGCGTCCCACGGCTGACGCGACGACGTCGATTCGTCGCCCGCGTCCAGGACCGGCCAGAGCTAGACAGAGAAAGCCTAGGGTCGAGGAGGACGCGCTCCGGAGGCCCCCCTCTGGGCGTTGCCACTCGCGGACACGGGATGCGAGGAGGCTGCGCCAAGAAAAGGAGGAGGAAGGACGGACGAGGAGAGGAGAGGATATCGAGGAAACGGAGGAGTGGATGAAGATTTTGGATGAGGAGGAGGGGAGTCAGGTGGAAGAGGTGGGGAAAGAGGATGAGTTTGAGCAGGATGAGGTTTCGATGAAAAGATGAAGTAGTGAATAATGAGAGGCCGACGAGGGGGGATTCGGGCAATTGGGGAGTGGAGGAGATGATGAGGTATAATGGCACACACACGCGTACAATACATGGACGAAAAAGAAAAAGAAGAGGCAGTACAAGTAGCGTTACAAAATAGTGAAGAGTACAATGTGTTTGTACATGGCTGTTTGTCTGTTCGCACCGCAAATCCGAATGTCTGACAGGGCCGAGTTCTGTCTTTCGGGTGCCACGGGAAGAGACCAGGTCAGAAGTCTTGGCCCGCTCAACGTTGGATGTTGTTGGTATTACGTCTCTTGGGATTTTCATGTGTCTCGACATTCGGTTCGGAATTGCGCTGTTTTCTGTGGCCTTACTCTGGCTCGAAGTTCGTCTCGGGTTTAGGTCAGCCCTGCAGCCTGCAGCCGCGCACACATGTGTGAGATTGAGATGATTTCATACATCTGTGTAGCCGTTCCAGCTGCACGAAGGGCAGCGCCAGGGGGAGCGCGCAGTGGCCAATGTTGCTGTGCAGCATAATGTGTGTGTGTTTGCGCGTGTGCGTGAGTGTTTGTGTGTGAATGTGTGTTGATGTGTGAGTGTGTTTGTGTGTGTGTCAATGCGTGTGTGAGTGAGGCACTTGCTACGCCTTGTGGAGTTCGGCTATGTGTTAGCCCATATTAGCTCTCGCCACCGTGAAGCCACCCGGCAAATGGACAAGTGTGTGGAGGGGTCGCTGCTCAGGTCTTTCCAATCTAGAGGGCCAAACATGAGGATGATACAAGGATGATGCGAATGGGGCGACGACAGATAACAAGTGTGCAGGACAGGCAGGATGAATAAGAGGTATCATGCGGGTATAATAGTGGGAGACTCTCAGCACGCATTTTCTGGATTGGACGTTCGAGCAAGTCTGTGTGGTGGACAGTGTGAACGGATCGGTAGTCTGGTCTCGACAGGCGAACCGTCAAGGATACCATAGGCACAGAGAAGAGTAAGAAACGAAGACAGAGGAGCCGACGAGGGGGAGGGATATTGGAGGAGAGAAGGAGGGGGGCGTTGGAAGTTAACAAACATATCAGGCACCGAGTATCAAGAACAAGCCCAATGAACTCCATTCGGCTGAATATTACAATGAAGTGATACTGAGTTCGTGCCTTCAAAAGGTCTTAACTCCGAGCAGTTGACGTACGTGTAAGTGGGGTAAGGGCCAGCTTCTACCCAAGGGAAGAAAACACACCAGCATCGAGGCCTTGAGCAGCAACGTTGCATGAGAAGCCACAAGGTGTGTCAACGTCGACATGCGCGGCACGGGCACAGCACACGTCACGTAGAAGCAGGACGCAGATTCGAACATGTGTCAGGCGCGCCCAGGAGTGGGCAACGGGCTCGCTCTAACCATGAAGAGCATCATGAAGAGATCGATGAGGGGGAAGGCGGAGGTAAGCTCGGAAAGAGCGCGTTCTGTGGTCGCTCAGAGGGGATGGGGAACCTGGCCCCCCCCCTGAATGGAGGGGGGTGGGGTTCGACCCCCCCCCCCTCCCTCCCTCCCTCCCTCTCCTCTCTCCTCGGGCCAGCGCCTGCATCGGCGGTGGCTAGCGGCGGCGGCGGGGACGACGATTTCTTTTTCTGGGCCGGCGCCGGCGCCTGCGGCGGCAGGCGGCGGCGGCGGGGAGCGTCGACGAGGACGACGGTGGTGGTGGTGGTGTTGGTGGTGGTGGTGGTGGGTTGTGGTGGTGGTGGCGGTGGTGGTGGTGGTTGCGGTGGTGGTGTGGTGGTTTGTTTTGGTGGTGATGGTTGTGGTGCTGGTGGTGGTGGGTTGTGGTGGTGGTGGTGGTTTGGTGGTGGTGTGGTGGTGGTTGGTGGTGCTGGTGGTGGTGGGTTGTGGTGGTGGTGGTGGTTTGGTGATGCTGTGGTGAGCGTTTGTGGTGGTGGTGTTGGTGGTGGATTGTGGTGGTGGCGGTGGTTTGTGGAGGTGGTGCTGGTGCTGGTGGTGGTGGCGGTGGTGGTGGTGGTGTGGTGATTTGTGGTGGTGGTGGTGGGTTGTCCTGCTGGTGGTGGTGGTGGTTGTGGCCGTGGTGGTGGTGGTGGTGTGGTAGACTGGTGGTGGTGGTGGTAGTGGTGGGTTTTTGTGGTGGTGGTGGTGATGGTGAGTTGCGGTGGTGGTGGTTGTGGTGGTGGTAGTGGCTGTGGTGGTGGTGATGGTGGTTGTGTGGTGGGTTCGTGGTGGTGGTGGGTTGAGGCGGCGGTGGTGTTGGTAGTGGTGGCGGTGGTGGTAGTGGTGGTAATCGTCGCTGCGACCCCGCCTTCGCCGGCGCCAGCGCTGGCGCTGCTGGCCGCCGCCAGTGCCGGCGCCGGCGGCAGGGGGTGGGGGGGTAGGGGCGAGGAGTTTTGAACACCTCTCCCCTGGGCTGCTCCTGGTCATCGTCGCTGCGTCCCCGCCGTCGACGCTGCTGACGGCCGCCAGCGCCGGCGCCAGCGCCAGCGCCGACGGGGGGGGTTGAACCACCCCCACCCCTTGGGAGGGAGGGGGGGTTCGGGAGGGGTGGGGGGTGGGGGAGGGGAGTCCCCCTGGTTTTGATCGACGGCGCCGTGTATGTGTGGGGAGGGGGGGGGCATTCCCCGGTTCGAAACGCGCCGCGCGCCCGTGAAACGCGCTTTCTCTCCAAGCTCGAATGCCGAACCTTGTTCAGGATGGGACATGGGGAAGGGTAGGGCGAAATCCATTAATAAAACAGAACAATTATCAGGAGCAGGAGAGGAGAGCACTTCTGAGAAACGCAGAACAGCCGACACATGAGACAACACAGAAGACACATAGGTCAATACAGAGCAACACGAGGGGCTAGCGGCTGACACAAAAATTGTGACACGGCGCGGCGAACATGATTTGGCGTGTAGGTATATGTTACACGTGTATTGTATCGCGTAAAGCCGAGGGATAAACGGCGCAAGCCAAGAAATCATGTTTGAGTTGCGACAGGCAAGCCATCTGGCCCCACGCGCCTCTGAGGTTTGCGTCTGAGGAAGGGGGGGTGAGGAGGAGGGGGAGGGGAGGAGGAGGAGGAGGAGGAGGAGGAGGAGGAGGAGGAGGAGGAGGAGGAGGAAAACGAGGAGGAGGAGGAGGAGGAGGAGGAGAAGAAAAAGAGTAGGATGTGGAGCAGAAGGACGGAGGACGGAAAACGGAGAGGGGGGAAGAACGATGAGGAAGGGGATGTGGAGGGGGAGGAAAAGACTGAACGAGGGAGGGCGGAGGAGCCGAGAGCGCGGGGCAAGGCGGCGGGGCGGCGGCCCCCCGCGGAGGGGGCAGGCGTGCTGCGGGCCCAGAGCAGCCCGCTGACCCAGGCCGCGGCGGCGCTGCCCAGGCTCGTCTGCGCCGCCGCGCCAGGCCTCGCCCCCACCCTGCCCCTCTGCTGTTCGTCCTCAGGCAGTGGCGAGGCGTCCTGGCTCAGGCCCGCTACAACATGTCATAAGAACCTGTTGTGGTGTGCGCGAAATGTTCTTGGGACTTGGGACGCGTCTGCCTGAGAGCGTTGTGTTTGAATCGATCGTGTTCAATTGAAGGAACATCGGTTGTGCTCTGAGAGTATTAGCCAGCTTGGGCTCCAAACAATGACGTCTTGCAATATTCGCGGTGCAATCTAGCTGGTGTATTCTAACTTTGCAAGTTTGAAGCCGTGAAGTCCATTGTTCGCGCAATTTTCCCACCTCCCCGCCCGCAATTGGTTTTGCTCAACCGATTTTGCCGCGATTGCGGTGGCTATTTGGCACTGGCTGGCGCATCGCGTCCCTGCGGCGGCGCTACCGCGTGCAATCTCGCCCGCGGAGCGGCCAGCTGGTTTGGTACAACCGACGTGGCAGCGATTGTGATTACGGAGGGGAATTTCTCTGCTTGTCTCCAAAGCCGCGTTTGCGTGCGGGCAGTGCAGAGGGTCGGTGACTCGGGCGGGTGCTTGATGCCGACAGTGCGGGCAACGACGATAAAAGTAGCGTTGGTGGTGGCGACGACGAGGATGACGACAGCAATGACCAATGACGGCGCTGATGCCGGTGGCGAGGATGACGATAATGTCCAAAAGGGCGCGTTCTGTGGACGTCGGGAAGGGGTGTTTCGAACCGGCCCCGGCCCCCCCTCCTCAATTGTTGCAAGGGGGTGGGGGGGGGGTTCGAACCCTGCCCCCCCCCCCCCCCCAAAGTGGACTGCGACCCCCCCCCCCCCCCCCTCCCCTCTGAATTGCAGGGGGGCTGGGTTCGAACCGGCCCCTTCCCTTTCCCTCCCCATTGGCAGACGACGACGGCAAGCGCCGGCGCCGGCGTTGTCGGGCATTGACGACGACGACGTCGACCGAGCATTCGTAGGATGCTACTATTGCAATATCGAGCCTTAGTACGATCCAATTAGAGCAACTTCCAGCCCGAATAGGATTCAATATTTCACGCTTCGCGAATTCTCACGTGTCCATTCAGAAACGTTGCCCATGAGAGGTGATGGGAAACGGGAGGAAGAGACACACATAATCAGTGAAACAAAGCGGTCACGGAGAGGGGGGGAGGCGCATGTTGAGAATGTTTGGAGGTTGTCTTGAAGCATCGGAGGCAAGAAGAGGAGGGCAACGGGGACAAGAAACCCATCGGCGAGAGAGCACAATTCACTGATGTACCATAGGTTTTTGAAGCGATTTGGCCTCCAGGGGTGTCCCGAGGGAGCTCCGAGATTGCTTGGACCCGTCTTGTGGCCCTCATCGGGCCTTTTTGAAGGTTTGTCGGGAGCTATCTTGAACAATTACCAGCTATCTTTAGTCATCTTGGCGGTAACGCCTTTTGGGAACCATCTTGGGCGAAACAACACCCTCTGACACCTCGCGCCCAACCAAACGCCCTCGTAGGAATCCCGTAGAGCTGGAAGCCCGAATCGGATTCTATCAGAGCCGGGTCGGGCTTTAAGTTGGTTCCGTTAGAGTTGGACTCAGCGTTGATTGGATTCTATGAGAGCGGGACCGCCCCCTAGCAGGTTTCTATCGGTGTTGGATCGAGCATTCGTAGGACCCTTATGGAGCTGGATCCAGCGCTAGTGCGATCTGTTTCGGCTGGAAGCGGC